TGTTTATAACCAGTAAGAGTAAGGTAAAGTAAATAAAATAAAATAGAATTATAAGAACAATATTATATTGTTAAGGTCACTTCTCTGTTACTTAATAATATCTAAAGACTTGGGAGGTATTTCAATATTTATATTCCATGTCTGAGTATTCATGGACTACATCTATCTATTATATAAACTATGTACTTCTCTGGTTATAACTTGCAATGTCAGGTATTCTCTGAAGGTTCAAATACTTGGAGACTCTGAAAACTATCACACTCTTTTCAGTAATTATGATATTGCTAACAAAGAACTATGATGTCCACAATAGTAATTATATGATTTTTTAGAGTCTTTAGACTTATGGCCTAGTTCTCAAGTTGAACTGAGTTGGCCCCAATTGTCTCTCTCATTGATAAATTAATCAGTTTCATCTGGAGGTTGTATCTGTGGAGGTAGTCATAATTTCAATCTTCCTTGGTCGCTTGACTTGAAAACTCCATAACTCCAAATCCAACTGATAGATATCTTCCAGATAACTTCCTACGAGTTCACAGAAAGCTATTATACCGGATTAGTAGATAATACCTCCGTCAGTAACTCTTGGTTGCTCTGAGTAGTAGGATTTTAATTTCTATTAATCTTGAGAACTATTTCCGCAACCACAACACATTTCTGAACTGAGTTATAACACTCTGCAAAAACTATTGGCTCCTATGATAGTATTCTTCAGAGTTCTAGAGTATTCTAATTATTACAGAGTGGGTGTAAATGTATTGGTCTTGTCACAAATATGGCTTGGCCAGGAAAAGGTTTTCACGTGACACATGGTTATGAGTCACAGGTATGTTATTGTTTCACACATATGACTCATTCGAGTCATATGATTTGTTATGTGTGAGATTTGTGATGCTTTCGCACATGGCTCAAATATGAGTCATGGGAGTGCCCCTGGCGAGTATACCTTGCAAGTGTGCCTTGCAGGTAGGCCTGGTGCATATGATTTATGTTTCGCACATGACCTGGTTACGAGGTCATGGATTTCACGCATATGACTTGTTTATTGCGTTATGTTTGGTGTATGAGTTTTGCTAATGACCTCGTTATGAGGTCATGGGTTTTGAGCATGTGACAATCTCAGTCACGTGACTAGTTTGTTATGATTTGATTTCACACATGTGACCACTTTGGGTCACATGACTACAGGCCGGAAGAATACTATATAAGGAGGCCGAAGTGGCCGAGGAGGATAGGTTCTTCACGCTTTGTTCTAAGTACTTTTCCTACTTATTACTTTAACCAATATAAAACACCTTTACAATCTTTATCTTTATTGCAACGTTATTGTTACACCAAGGAAAGTTCTTTACGAAGAAGAGTTAGAGAAAGCTTACAATAAGCGTTCCCGATAGAAGACAGAGGTCTTGTACTATCAGTAACGAAGGCAGAGGCATAGTGCTATCGTAAGACAAAGAAGAGGAGAAGAAGAAAAAGAGAAGTATTGTTCCCCGTCACCCAAACCTAACCATCCAAGAGGGGATCATTACAGGTCTCTTGTAAAGATCCTTTAATATTCGATACCATATCTTTGTGTGAAAACATCCTGTTACCTACAGCTCTTACTAAAGATGTCACACCTTTGGAGCCTAGTAACTCTCTCAATAGTTGATGGAATTACTCTGCTCTACTTCTGAGACTTACCCAAAGGTCCTCTCTCATACATCCTGCAAATAGGATCTGGCCAGACAGACAGCAGCAATGTATATGTTGTTATTCCAACACTTTCTATTCTGTTACCATATAGTCACAGGATGCAACTAAGATAGATATGTATAATAACGTCCCCATAAGGGGGCCAGAAGGGGTTGTTGGAGACCAGAGATTTCGATTCTGAGTGGAGTTACCCTACTTAGGGCAGTTTCTAGCTATCTGATCTCAGTATTCCTAATATCCACCCAGAGTCAACATAGAGTGGTAATGAATCAGAGGTTGGCCTTTAATCTTAACACAGAAGGTATGAGACCTAAGGTGTGGGTTTCAACATCAACGACAACACAACAAGTAAGCCTCCCGATGGATGAGGTAGTAGCAATGGCTGCCATAGTGTTGTTTGAGCTTCAAATACCTATTAAACCAACCAGACTTGTTTGAGTTACACAACAGGATGCTTCGGCATATGTGAAGGTGAAGGACAAGGTATGCCGAGAGATATGAAAGAGATAGGTGGAATGGGACTATCCCTCTTATTATAAATACGGACCCCCCTTCAGAGAATGCTGAAACTTCATAGTGTTTCCGAAGTTCTAAGCTGGTATATTACACCAGATGAGGGCTTGCAAGAGTTACTTAAGTGTGCAAATAAATTGGTCTAACCAAGACCACACCAGGGAGAACAGTAGATGCAACCTTGAAGACGAGACTTGGGAACATGTTATGGCCTACCCCTCCCTGGCTGAAACCAGGATGGGAATGCATAAGGGTTATTTTAACATGGCTTTAGATTCGGAGATATGGAAAAGTGGAAAGAAAGGGGTTGAGCTATTAAGAGATTTGATTTCCTATAATTTGGACAAGGATAAATTTTTCCAATGAGGATGGTGAATTTTCCTTTTACAAAGAGGGTGGTACTTGTGTCATGAGATTTGGAACTGTATTGGGCAGAGTGATTGGAGTGACTTGATAATTGTTATCGCTAAATTGTTATTTTATGGGGGTTGAAGTTTCTTTTGTTTAGTGAGGGGTTTTTAGGCCATACCTTAGGGTACTTGCCATGGATTTTCCTGTACTTAGTACAAATAAACCGCGGATTTAACAAAAAAAAAGAAAACTACCGTAAACGCAAAAGTCTTGGAGATCAGTCAAGAACCCTAACCCTCGCTTGTAAACAAAATTGGCTAGTGCTCGTGTTTTCCGAGAAGTGACCTTAATGATATCCATAGACTTTGCGTTTGGTGAGCAGTCTGAGTGGAGCCTCTAGGGTTTCACCCATACGGTATCGTAGCCCTAGCCACGGAGAGGGAGAATCTGCTCGAGTATCACTCCGGTAAAGGGGGGGTATTGGTGGGGGGTTGACTCCTCCTAGCTGAGGCATGGAATGTAGTCTTAATCTCTTGGGTCATCATGGCGGCTCACCAACTGGTACCGGATGCGAGCACGGTAGTACGAGTACAGTACGAGTACTGTACCCGTGGTAGCTGAGCTAAATTACTCAAGTACTCGTACGAGAACTTGATCTTAAGGCAGAAAGAGGTGATCCTATCCGGGCACAAATAAAGGAAGTACCGGTACCACAATGAGACCCAAGCATCCCATACTGGCTGCCGGCTGGCTGGGCGCACTCTGCTGTGGCGCCCTCTTCACCATTGCCAGTATCACACACCATCACCGCAGCATGGTGGCATCATAAGACAGTACCGGAAGTGCCTCAAATATAGTACAGCACTGTGCTCGAACAAGGCATTGATTTTAAAAACCTTGGTACCGGCATTCAACCACCCCTTCATCTCTATTTAAAGCTTGGGCTTCTATGCTTGTGCTCGAGCATTCTTTGAGAATTCCGCACATAATAATGCCCGTAGTATTGCAGCGCAAGAGTCACCGATCTTCTTGGTTTACAGGTGACACAGCTGGGTTCGCAAGACCTGCAGAGAACGATCGAGCGCCATACCGGGACGCAAGGAAAATGTTCCTGCCAACTCGTTGAAGATGCTGTACAGTACCGGTACCCATATGCAGGATCTGTCCTCTGGGGCCTGGGCTGATTAAAATTCAACCTCTCGGCCGGATGCATATTGTGGTGCGAAATTGTATTGTACGTAGCGGTGGTGATTGGTGTTATGGCATGATTCAGCCGAGCAAGCACTGAAGGCACTCATACTCATACAGCTCCGGTGTGAGTACCATAAGGTTCATGTCTCTTTGCCTGTTGTAGCAGAACTCACACAAGCACTATTGTTTGCCTAAGGTTTGATTTTTGCCTCCCGCTTGGACTGGGCGTTTCTGGGAAGTTTCTCTTTTCCTCTTTTTCAAAGGCGCGTGTCGAGCTAAATCCGCCTCCCACCGTTGCGGTGCGGCTCATGAGGGAGGCTCGATTACCGTACTGTATTGGAATCTGGGGCTCACAATATGGATCAATGCATGGTCCGCCCACCTCGAGTAAGCAGTGGATCGGGATCCACAACAGGCGAGGGAAGCAAGGCGCTATCATACTGTTGATCGTGCTGTGAGATTCAATCATTTTTTATTATGGTGTCAGAGTGCAAGAGCTTGCGCCTCAACTACCGTATAACCGTGCATATAGTAATGCATTCCACCTTTGCATGGAGGGTACTCTACCGGTATCTAGCTTTTAACCAAGTATTGCCATAGGCGCGAATAACTTGAACTTGCTGTAATGCCAGCGATTTGGAAGGAGACCCTTGGTTGCTGCTGTATCGTCGTCGTTGAGCTGGAACATAAGCGGTTACGGTTTCTGGTTCACTCTCCAGTCTTGTCATGTGCGACATGAAAGTTCGATTTTCAAGCTGGAAGACCCCCTGGCACAGATTGGACTTGGCAAGTGCCTTATGTATTTCCGGGCGGTCGTGTATCCCCCTCATGATGAAGGGAGAGTGGGTGCTGAGCAGTGTGGAGGAGGAGGAGTGGGAGGAGGAGGAAGGGCAGGAGTAAAATAGCTCTCACTCCAACGCGATTCCACAAAAACATCCAAACATTCCCTCCCTTCATCTGGGCTTTCATCTCTCCGTTCTGAAGTTACGTACATAGGATATTCGGGTGAAAAGGAAAAGAAAAAGAAAAAAAGAAAAAGGAGAAGAAGACACCTCTTCTCTCTGCTATATTGATTTGTCCAACCTTTGCCTGCGCCCGCAGATTTTTTGCCCCTCCGGAGTTGGAAAGCTAACGTCAAGGTAATTTTCTACATGTGCGTGCTTAAACCTACGTACCGCACCCCAGCAACCAACACCCTTTGCCCTCCGTGCTCCTTCTAACTTTTCCTCTCATTTCCCCCCCGTTCCTCACACCTTTTCATCCTTCATCCGTTCCCATACAGTTTAAACTCATCTCCTTGCCCCGCGCTCAGAACCACTTTTTTGACAACGTACACACCTTGTTCCCCCTTCATCCTCATCTTTCCTCTCAGCAGCTTTACAAAGCTAATCAAACTTCAACCTCCCAGGACTAGACTAAGACTAACAAAGATCCATCAAACGCCGCAACTATCATCGCGTCTGATCACCGCTGTATTGAGTTCTACTTCCTTCCGAGGATCTACACCCTCCTCGGCTCTTAACCATGGCCAAAGTGTCTGATTTCCTCGCTGCCCATCTCGGCGCAAACGGGGACGGCCAAGCTGCTTCAGGCGCCACAAGTCCTGGAGCAGAGTGGCGAGATGATGACGACGGCGATGTAGCTGCCAGATACAGGCCCCGTACCTATCCTTACTATCGCTATCTGCCATACGATACAGAGGATGAGTCCGAGCGGCAAAAGAACCTTGATGAAATCATTAAACATCTCTACATCTCTATTGAAGCGGGGGATTTCGCCCCCGGAGCAGTGCACTGGTCGAGGGAACTCAGAAGTTGGCTTAGTCTGAAGTTTGATCCGCCCCGAAAAACGAGGGTTAAGCTCGTCAAATTATATTATGAGCTTGCCATGGCTCCGGGCTTGGACCCCACCGTTGCTGAGAGATTCGCGAGCATGTTTATGGTCCTGACAAAGTATATTTCCTACATTCCTTTTATTCTGGGCTACTCTTGTATTACTCCAGCGGGTGTAGAAACACCACCCAGTATCATCTCTCTGGAGCTGTATGGTCTTATAGTCATAATGAATGCTAAAATAATTTATAAAGGCGAAAACACTACCTGCGCCCCGGGAAAGACCTTACATTGGATTGGAGACCCCTCTTCAAGGAGCTCAAGGTGTTTGTGCTTCCTCAAGAGTCAGGGTTTATCCATTCCACCACAGTAAAAAAGAATGTCCGGACATTGACGAAGATGTGCTCGTTTGCGCAACCCTTCTTCAACCCGGAGGAGATAACTGAAATGTTTGAAGAGTTTTTGCCTTATGTAAGATTGCTATCATCCCGACCAATTAGCTTGACAATATACTCATGAAATTATAGTTTAGCACCTCTTTCGCCGAGGGCGCTTTTGTGGTTGTTGGATTGTTAAATCTGCTTCTTCCCACGGTTCCTCCACCCCCGGACAAGCCGAAGCTACAACCCTCTTATTATCTTCCTAGTAAGCACTTTCTGATTCGACCGCGGCCCACTAAGCAGGATTGCTGACCCTATTCGCAGCACTTTTTCACTTGTGGTCACTCGTAAATCGTTCTCGTGTGTTTGACGTAAATTTCTTGGATTTACTGTCCCGCCTGGCTCGGGATCTGCTGCCAGCAAAAGGCATACCTTTTGGAGAGTATGGTATTTACAGTAAAGAACAGTCAGCGTTGATATTTACAGCCATACTTCGGCTTCTGGAGATTCCGGTTGGTCAGGCAACCTCTCCATATAGCAGTGTCGTGGATACGAATATTGGGTTGGCCATGACTTTGGATCGAGACCCCAGGAAAAATCCAGTGGCGCACCATATAGCAAGATGGATTGTCATGTCGCTATCGCCCCATTCCCTTAATCAACCAGATTCGATCCTTTCCAACCTCGAGGGGTTAATTCAAGCCGTGGAGACCTTTTTCCATCCTTCAAATACTGGAAATTGGACAAAGACCCTGTCTCAACTTGTATATTATTTGGCCGACTTCTTTGTGATGAGGTGGAATCGGGAGAGGAGTGGAGAGATGGAGGTACCCGAGGACAGGAGGCTTACGCCTGAGCTTAAGAGACGCTTTGTTATGTGTCTGAAAGAGGTAATATTCATGGGGATATATGCCAAGAGTTCTACCGCAATGAGCTTCTCACTGTCCTCTCTGCAAAGCCTGGCTTATCTCGAGCCGGATCTTATACTCCCTGGTGCCCTTCAGCGTATATATCCATCAATTCAAGGACTAGTGGAGGTACATCGCACCACGTCCTCCCTACGCTCACTACAAGTTCTCTCTAGAATAATGGTTCGTACTAGAGGGTTTAGAAATCATGTTACCACTTTATTGGGACTTGCTTTGCCCGGAATTGATGCAAATGACCTGGACAAGACATTGCACACACTATCGTTTGTTCAGGCCGTGGCTTATAACATCCCCTTCCGTGATCTTACAGAGGACGAGGAGGGGGGTGGGAATG